ATAAAAACATCACATAACAAACAAAACAGCATGTGACAAGACAGCAGCAGTATAGTGCAAACCACTCTAAAGGGCAATACTAAACTCATTAGCTTTCCTTGAGAGATCTGCAGCGCTTAACTGCCTAATGCTCTCAGCCACCTTGGATGGACAAGACTGCTAAATGCCTCCTTCTGGTAGTGAAGCGCAGCTGTTCCTTATAAGCCTGCTAATTATCAACTGGGAAGGTGTGGATATTAGTGGTGCGTTTGTGGACATCATGTAAAATCCTACCCCAGAATCTACTTCACTACAGTAACACACTAATGTTGTTCTTTTTCTTCAGTTGCTCCTGATCACACACTAGTACTAATTGGTGACCCAGCTTCCACTGAGATCGGACCAATTTTATACAGAAAAAGAAAAGAGACATGAGTTGCATTCGGTCTGCAGGCTGTTCCTTGTTTTTTCTGCATATGCCCAAAAATCTATATATACACCAAACTAGAACCATAATGAAAAGGAACTAGGTTATATCAAAATCATGTTAATAAATTTTAAAACCTTAAGTAACTTTAAGATATCATCTTATTACACTACAGGTGGTATAGGGACTTCCATTACAACTGATAGAAAAGTTAGAGCAGTTTCACAGATTGGAAAAAAAGCTTTCTCACAAGATTTGTGTTACTCAAACAAAGACAAAAAGATCCTTATTTGTGCATTGCAATTAGTTAACTCACACTATAATTCTGTTTTATACTGAAAAAGTAGAGACAAGGTTTTGGCTCTGTTTTGTAACTCTTCACTGAGTCCTCATCTTGAGTGTTTAGAGTTTAATCCTTTTCTGCTCCTCGGTAAGGACACTAGTATCTTACTAAAACTGAACAGACATGAAGTAAACTGTGTTTTAGGTTTGTAGTTGGATTATGTGCATACGTTTGTATGCCTTTGCATGTTTCATGTAGTTTCTTCTTTAAACTTGTCTGTCTGAGCAATATAGTCATGGCATAGTCAAAGTTTTGATATTCACACAATCACTGCCAAAACCATTTATAGTTTAGGCAAGGCAATGGAGAGAAAATAGTTCTGGGAGCAATGTAGGCCTTGGGGCAAAACTGAGGACTGAAGCCAGAAGCAGTGGTTGAAGCTGTTCCGGGGGCTGGCTGGGTGGCCATCGTTGGAAAAAGAGGGCTGAGGGCTGGCTGTGTGGCCAGGAACACCAGCCAGGAAATAGGCTGGCAAAAACAACAAAAAAACTAGTAACAAGACAAACAAATAAATAATTAACTAATTATTGACTAATTATAATTTTAGTTTTACCTATACAAATAACTGACCCAGGTGGGTATATATTTTAAACCAACTCAAGTATACAGAGTGACTGATGAGCTTTTCAACCAAAATTACTGCAAATACACCTAGAGTGAATATATATAAATGGTAAATGGCCTGTATTTGTATAGTGCTTTACTAGTCCCTAAGGACCCCAAAGCGCTTTACACATTCAGTCATCCACACATTCACACACTGGTGATGGCAAGCTACATTGTGGCCACAGC